TCCTCTGTGCAACTTTTTGTATTGTTTTCCTAATGCTGTGTCCTGCCCTGTCTGCCTGTGGTCCCCTATCTGTCCTTTTGCAACTGGAGGCTCTCCGTGCTGGAGACTCTCTGCCAGCCTTGTTTGGACAGGACCAGGCATGGGAACCTCAACCTTGATAGGGCTCCATGCTGTGGCACTGCTAACGCACACAAATGTGCGTGTAAAGTATGAAAAACCTGTATAAATACTGCTTTGCAGGTAAGAAAGCAGCAATGTGGTACCTCGAGGGCAGAGGAATGGGAAAGAGCTGTAATTATTTGCAGCTAGAATTGGACTAGTCAGAGAGCAGCCGACTGCCTCTCATTGCTGGCAGCAGCTGGGTAGTTGGCTGTTTGTTGGCTAGAGCGAGTGCTCTGCAATCTCCTTGGAACGCTGCAGTATCTCCCTAATTGAGGGGTGGCCAACAGTTTGAGAAATATTGGTTAATACAAAATACTTGGCATTGTATTTTAAGTTGACTTTACACTCTACTAGTGTTTGTCTTCTCTCTCGAGATTGATGATGCTTGAAGGTGAGGTAGAAATAAAGGGAAGTGTGTCTGAGTGCTAGAGAATGATTTGCTGTTTTATCCTTGATCTTGATTTTTTTTTTTAGTTGCATGATCCTAAAATTTGCATATGCCAAGGTATGAAATGAACTTGCTTGGTCGTCTTTCTAAATTTGTGCAGATTAGAATTGCAGAAGAGAAGAGGGCTTTACTGCCATCGTGCTCTCTTGCATGCTATTCAAATATATTCAGTTCAACTTTCTGATTCCCGGGGCAAATATTTGCTACAACTTGCTGTGTGGGCAATTTTTATAGAGCCATTACAGACTGAAAGGGCCATTTCCCTCTCTTTGAGACCTTTCTTGCTAATCCTTTTTTGTTTTTAATATTTCTCTATAAAGAATGGGAAAAAAAGCACTTTGAACTGTTTTGTTCAAACAAAACAGGATGGATGAGGAGGATGAGATCACCAGCGAAAGAAGTGGAAACCCCAAACAGCCTCCTCTTTGTTCTGCTGTAAGGTGACACACTTGAACCGTTCTCCTTTGATTTTAACATCGTGTCGCTGTTAGGCACACAGCGTCCTGGAGGGCGTTCAAAGAAGCCAGATGCTCAGATCAAGGAGCTGAACCCTCTAAAAACTGCCTCGTGCAGCATCGTGCCGGGGAGCGTTGCCGTTAGGGGCTCCGATGCTCAGTAAGGACCACGATGAGACCCAGGCTCCAGGAAACCCTGCAAACATTCAGGCTGCTCCGTTCTGCCGGGGCGTTGCAGGCTGAATGGTGAACGATGCACGATTGTCCCTGTGGGCGCTCTAGTGCTGCGGGGGTATCGGGCCGAACCGGCCGCTTGCCCTATGGTAGCCACAAATCCTGGACCCCTTGTGGAGAGCGTTAGCCCAGCGGAGCTTGGCTGGCCGCGTGCCCGGCCGTTTCCCTGTGTCTAGCTCGGAAAGCTCCTCTTGGCTTCATTGCTGGGCTTGGCAAAGCTGGAGCATCACTGCAAGCAAGACTCCTCTCTCCCGTGTGACATCTGTGGCCTGGCCAGGGAGCCTCTCTATTAACAGGGTACAGCCAGCTGGTAAAACACACACTGCTTGATCCCAAACTGTGCTCCCCATTGCTAAATATTTCCCACGTAGCAGCTTTGTAGTCGCAGGGTTGGAATGGGATGACAGTAGCACCCACTTTCAGAAGAAATAATTTTGAATGAAATCTCAGCAGTCTTGAATGTAAGAAGTTACCCGAGTGCCTTCAGCATTTTTTGTTGAAATAGATGCTTATGTCAGCTCTTGCTTAAATGTCAGCTATATAAAGCATTTCACTTAATCCCTTATACGTTCTTATGTGGATGGCATTTTTTAATATCCTTAAACCAGTAGTTTATATATATGCTTAAGGGTTGCAGTGCTGCTGTTTTAGCTTTCTTGTACATAGGAGAATGTTAATTTGGGGTGAAGCAAAGCTGTGGTTTGTAAAGCAGCCTCTTTTTTTGTAAGGGATGTAGAGTCTATCAAGATGGAAAGCAACATGCCAAGACTTGAAGCCTCAGTTTGCTGGAAGGATTGATTTCTTCATCAAAGTGAAGGTGGAATAGGCCTTGTGCAGCACATTGTGGTGTGTGGTCCATGTGGTGTCCACCCTTTTCCTCAAGCTCTGCTCTCTGCAACAACTCTTTTTTATTCAATAAGTGCTGTTTTAACTCTTTTCAGGTCACATTTCTTTTTAGTTTGGGAAATAACATAAGACAGATCATGCAAAGTGTTCCTTTTGTGACTTTGTCATTAAAATTAATGAGACTAGAAAAACTATTTAGGAACCTGAAAAGAGAATCCTAGTGACTAGTATTTCTCTATCCACACAACTTTTTCATTTTAATTAGCAAATAAACCAGGAGAGAGCAATAGGCAAGTATTTTTGTGTAGCATGGTATTTTGTCTAGTCTGTTCAAAAGTAATTATTTGAGAGGATTCTGTTTGGTTGATGAGTGCTGTATCTTCAGGGTTTTTGAGGGGGACGAGGGAGATAGAGTGAGTCATACTTGAGCAAGACAAACCCAAGAGCTGCCAGTTTGCATTATGTCAATGTATGTAACAAAATATTTAGATAGAATTTCCATTAAAGGTTCAAAAGCAGGGGGCTCATGCTGACCCTGGCTTTCAGAACCTCTGGTGGGAAACCTGAGTGAAATTTAATTCCGCTCAGTATGTTTTCATTGGCTAACTCCATGTTTTATTATCTCATGCAATGAGATCTTTCTTGGTTTGTCGATTTTCTACTGAGGACAAAAAGTTCATGTATGTAACAGTGCACATATTGAATTAAAGCACGATTAAAGGCATGATGTAATGACCCCCTCTCCTTTTCCTTTGGTCAATATTTGTCTGTAGGGTCAATACATTACAATATTGACTTCAAAGTATTCGGTATTTTTTTACCTTCCGAGTGTGTTGGCTTCAAGTGCGTGTAATACTAAACCCGTTGGTTGAACTGTTGGTCTAAGACTTACTGTCTAAGTAGTTGCAGGCTTGGATGCCTAATCCATGTCGAGCAGCTTTCAAGGCATCTGATAATATCACAACACAGCTGTAGGCAGCTTTCTGAGGTGAACCATTTAATCCGTGGCCTTTTCTCCCAGCTTTCTAATGAGTGGTGGAATTTGTCCCTCGGTGTGCAATGGGATTATTACACTCTCCCCCTGCTGCCGTGATATTTACTCTCTGCAGGGCCTTTCAGTGGAATAGAGCTTATATGGACAAATCTAAACCCCACTGCTCCTGTCTTTCATGTGCTTTTCAGCTGCCTCTACATCTCTGCTCTATGAAGTCTAGAAAAGCAGCACCAAAGAAAGATAATACTTTACATGCTGTAAGTGCTGTGCAAACATGGCTTAATAAATCTGGCTGGATGAATTGTTAAAAATTCAAACTATCACACACTGGATGTTGTTGCTTATTTATCTGAACTCGCAGCTGGTGGCAAAGCAAGTTGGGTGGCTCTCCCAACATAAGCTTGGACCTTCTCATGCTTCCTCTTCACCTGTATAACTTTCCATTCTCATTGTGCTGACACACTGCATGATGACCGCGGCTATTACCAATTTATCCATTAAAAACATGACACTCTAGAGAGAGGTTCTTTGAAAGAAGGTGTAGAAATAAATGGGATTTCCACCAGAATAGTGTTTTATTAGAATGGATTAAAAAAAATCAAGCAAAGACATTTGTAGATATTAAGAAGTTAGTGAATTCTATAAAGAACTAAACATTTTAATTAGGAACCCACCACACTTAGAAATAGTCTACAAATAAGCACTTCAAATGTAACCCAGTCCTTCCACAGTGTACAAAGGCCGGCAAGGTTCGTGAGTATTGCAAGCCAGAATTTCTTGGACAAATGTACTAATTACTTCCAAAGCTGAGGATGGTCATTACTTCCAAATTCAAATTATTGCCAAAACCTCATGGTAAACCTCAATAATATTCTTCTCTCTAGCCTAACTTTTCAATTAAGATACTTCTAGACCAGACTCCTTCATCTGTGGAGTGGGAGTATTCTGCTCGTGGAAAGCTGCACTTCCAGACAGCCCAATCCTAAGTCATTTAAGACTTGTCAAGTCACCAGCAGCAATTTGGTCTTGATCCCAAGCATGTGTGAGCTGCTGCTTCATACCTGGGGAATGGGGTCCTGGCTAAGTTGTCACAGTGGCTGTGAACCTGGTAGAGCCTGAGGGGCCACAGTTTTCATCTCAGATGGGAAGAGACGATCAGAGGTATCGATTTTGTGAGGTCTAGGCATCGAGCAAATGGGTTATGGTAGCATTTCGCAGGTGAGTGGGAAAGGGTGGAGGGGAGCAGAATTCAATACGTCAACAACTAAATGCAATAAATAAGTCAACGGAAGCTCTGCACAGAAGTATAAAGACCTACCAGAAAGGGAAAAGGTTTGTGAAAATTGCATGTTGTCACTTTCTTTTCCTTTTCTTCGCTGTCTCATTACCCCTGCCTCTGGGATAGCTCACAGACCTCATACATCACAGGTAATTGCTCTGCCAGAAGTGACCCCGTAGAAGGTACCAAGATTGTAAAATTGTTAGTTTTTCTCGTTTTCTTTGAAAATTGACGTCTGGAGGCACTTATTTCCTTCTTCCCAAGCCCTCTAAACCCCTCCGTTTCCATCTGCAGTCTACTGACGTCCTTGTGTAATTGCAGGGAACTTTGAAGTGGGTGTTCACATCGCGGACGTGAGCTACTTCGTCAAGGAAGAAACAGCACTGGACAAAATGGCCAGCGAACGGGCAACTAGTGTCTATCTAGTGCAAAAGGTAAGCCTGTTTTTTTGTTCTTCTGAGGACAGTGTCTCCCTTTTACCATGAGTTCATTACAAAGGATCGTTATCAGATACCATCAATCAAAATCCAGCCAATAGTGTGGCAAACCTATGAGGAAGCTGATGTACCACACACCACAGGTAATGAAGGTGTGCACCAGCTCTGTACTTCTGAAGCATTGCAGTCCACAATAGCTCATGACCTTGGGTAGGCTGGGAGCAGGGCTGTGCAAACAGGGCTCTGCTGATCTGGAGCTGGTTCAGGTCCTCAAACCATACAGAAAAGTTGGTACCTGCTCAGCCTGAGTTCAGCCTGAGGGACTGAAGATGGTTCATCTGCTTTGTAGTTGTGGCGTGGAGTTTGGAGCCTTGGTGGTGATGGAGAGTTCATGTTTTTTTTTTTTTTTTTTTGTCTTCACTGCTGTAACTCTGAGTAGATGCACAGCAAAGTATAGTATAACCCCCACGCTAGCAACTAAGAAGTGCAAGAGTATTTCACAGACTTACCTGAGTGTTCTGAATGTTGGAGACATAATGCTCTTCCATCATGTGGATGGAAGGTACTTAAAATTGTACAAACTTCAGCATAACAGGAACAAATATTGAACTCTGGAAGTTTAAAGACAACTTCTAAGCTTTGAAGATAAATGAGTAGAGGTTTAACATTATTGGAAAAATGGCGAAAGATAGAAAATCCAGATTTCTTTTGTCTGTTTTTTAGTTAAGTGTGCAGAAACACTTCCCCGCTCATTGGGTGTTGCAGGCACTATGCGCTGAGGAGAGCCAGGAGGTTTGGCTGTGAGATTCCTGTGTAGGCTTTAAGCAGCATCTGCATGAGGAGGAATGCTGAGAACAGCTCATTCTGTCTCTCTCCTCACCCCCATTCTGTCAGGCTATAGAAGAGCTTTTTTCCACCACCCTTCCCCAGATGACAGGGCATCTGTGGTATAATAAACAAATGTATCCTACTTACTGCTTAGGATCAGGGGCGATTCTTCCCCTCCCTTCCTGACTGTTCCCATGATTGCTGTCCAGGGAGGGTCTTGCAGTGATGCATGCTCCATAGCTTCCTGCGTCCTCTCCATTCTTTCCAGTAGCCCCAGGGAATTTAAATGATTTATTTTGCACTGTTGAAATCAAACTAATGGGCTGATCTCAAGCTTTTAACCTTTAGTGGATATTCCATAACTTTACAAAGGATCCGTTTGGGTCGAATGAGCAAGGCATAGATGGAGGAGGTCTCAGGGTGTTGGTGGCCTTTTATATGTGTGTGTGTGCACAGGTCCTGTGGAATAGCCATGGCCACAATGCCAAGGTGCCCATCGATCGCAGTGGGACCAGCAACACAGTTGGAGCTGTGCTGTGGGACTGAGGAGTGGCCGCTTTGGGAAAGAGCAATTCCCAGTGGCTTGCTGTTCTCTGGGAGTGGGAAGCAGTGCACATCTCATGGAAACAGCAGCTCTGGCACCAGTGGCTTCCCAATCCTACAGTGTCTCTCACAATGAGCCCTTGGCCTCTGCAGTGCTCCTCTTCCATCTCTGTTCGATGGCCCAGCGGCTGCAGCTCACTGCAGGAGATGGGGTTGGCTCAGGGCAAATGCCACTGCATGGCAACAGAGCTGGAAGGTGTGGCAGTATTTCCATGTCAAAATGTTGTGATTTGCAGGCATGTAGGGTTTTTTTGAGGAGAAAGAAGATTTTTTATATAGAAAGGAGACATTTTTTTCATAAAAATTTAGTCGAAATCGAAAGCTAATTGAATTTTCTTTCAAAAGTGTTTTTTTTTTCCCTCAACGCTACCAGTCAGTTGTCATGTTTGATACCAGCATAACTTATCTGTTGCCTTTTCATACCCATAACCTCCAATTGCTCTTCAACTATTTTGGCAAAGCAGTCAGCATCAGTATTTTACGTACCCTTTTGCCCTGCAAATTATATATTTTAAAAGCGTAAACCAGCTTAGATAATGAAAACACGGTGTTGGTCAGTGTTTTAACTGCAAGAGATGAAAAGGAGAGAGGTGATGGGAAAGGGAAAGCAGCCAGACTCGCTGAAACAAGATGGTAGTGTGACTGTAGTAGAAAATATGCTTTGCTTTGATGGAATTGTTTCCTAAGACAGCTGTGATTCTGCTAGGGGTTAGCACCATGCTAATCCTCCTAGAGAAGTTAAATAAAGCCACATATTTAGTTTTCCTCCACCAGCTATCCAGAAGAGGAGTTATTGTGTAATGGCTAGCGGTCTATTTAATAAAAGTCGAAAGTTTTAGAAATAAGAGTGTATCAGGTTTTAAGAAGCAAGAAAACCTAAACAATTTCCTCTTTTTTGGCACATCTTCTAGTGTTATTTTAGGTGTGAAGCAGCTCAAGTGAGAGGTCAGCCATAAATCCCTATAATATTTTATTGGTACTATTTTATACTGGAGATCAAAGATTGGAATTGTAAGCCTATCTTCACATTGAATCCAAGGACTTTGAGACATTCACTTTTGACACCAGCAGGTTGTCAGGGTGTTGATATTTTGATAATCTCAGACCGAGTAACAAAGAGTTGCTCAAAATCTGAATTCATGGAAGTGTTGATACAACTCTTAAGCAGAAATCTTGGCGCACAAACAAATTGCCTATTTCCTTTGAGTGTCTTTTAGTGTGTAAGCAAGAAGCTTGCGGAGCGCTCGCCATTGTTAGACGGCGACGTCCTCCTCCCAGCTCCGGGGAGAACGGCCGATGGAAACTCACGGAGTTGGCGACGGTCCCTCCGCGGTGGGTCAGTGGTGGGAGAAGGGGTCACCTCTGGATGTCTGCAGTGGTCGTAGGCAGCATGGCCCGAGACCGCGCAGGCAGCCAAGGCCGGGAGCCAGCAGAGCGGGATTGTTTGATGGGAACAAAACTGTCTGCGTGACTTTGTGAAAGTGCCAGGGGTTATTCTTAACCAGAGTTTGTTCCCTGTTTTCCTTTGTCTTGTTGACTGATTTTCCCCTTCTCTTGAAAAGCCACTACAGCAAGTCCATTGATTACAGAGCTGCCCTGGCTAATAACTTGCTCTGAACTTGGCCAGTGAGTCACTCATGACTACAGCAGATGTTTCTGATTTTAAAGGGAACGGGGAGTTCAGTCATCCCAGCATGTGTGTATGCTCCCTCCCACTGCCCGGCTCTGTAGGAATGAGTCCTAGCCTGGAAAGTCGCACTTGGATTCTGGAAGCAGTTCATTAGCTTAAGAGGTAAAACAACAACGGGCTGTCACATGCAGGGGGTTAGATATTCCCCTCGCCAAAGCGAGTCCACCATGCAAAGGAGCCAGCTGTTAAGCAACGTGGCAAGCCACGCTAGCAGGTGCCCGTGTTTTATAACGACAGCTGGTTGGAAGCAGCCCCCAGGGCCTCCGTGCTGTCGCTCACTTTGGGGTCCCCGTGCTGCTGTGCTCTTTGGTGCGCCGGGGCGCGTGGCTGCCTGCCGGGAGAGCAGGGAACGTGGAAGGGGTTGGCAGTGCTAAAGGCCAAGCCGCGTGCAGCAGCGCTGGGCCTAAAGAGATTTCACCTGGATCGCTTGGAAATGTGGAGAGGGAAATCCTCTGTGGGGAATTTGATTTGAAATGCAGATCCGCAGCTGTGAGCACTGTGGATATCAGCTGTTTGTTTAAAAAAAAAAAAAAAAAAAAAAAACACCCTTTCCACTATTGCTTGGACCCTCCTAGATCCAGCAGAGATGCCTTTTATCAGTCTGATTGATAGAGAGGAAGAAAACCAGCCAAGCTCTCACCACACAAGCCTTTCCCCAGGTCTGGTTCCCATAACACGCTCATTAGGAAGGCTTCTCTGGGGAGCTCTAGGTCCCCTTCATTTTTTCATTTGAAAAGTTTTTTCCCTCTGGCCCTGCTGGAACTCTCCAACTGCATTTCTAGCTTCAACTGCATTCACTTGCCTTCTGTTTCCAGTTTTATGATCCCTGTGTAAGCACAGGTGACCTTATTTCCTCCTGCAATAAAGTCAAGGTGAATGATGTGATTCCCCACCATAGGCACATGTTAAACTATTTGCCAGGGAAACCACATCCCATTGGAGGCCGTGTTCTTCAGCGTCGACGCAGCCAGCTGGATTCCTGCATGCCGAGGCGGTCACAGGGCAGCTGGCAGACGCTGCTATCGCTTGGCAGACGGTCACTCTAAGGACAAAGCATTTAAAAGATGCGAGGCAGCCTCTGGCTTTGCACATCTTCCGTGAGCTTTGAAGATGTACTTGGGGAAATCTCCCCTCATCCCTCTTCTCCTTCAGAAAGAAACAGCAATAATCCTATTGCAGAATTTCCTTCTGGGCAGCCCCTGAGACAACTCTTAAAATATCCCAATCCCAAATTTGACATGTTTGTGACATCTTTATATGTTGAATGCTGTGCTTGCAATTACTAAATCCTTTCAGCCTGTAACCATATCATGTTAATGGTCAGACCATAAGAGGAAATGACCGTTTATGACTTAGAAACCTCTGTACTTCTACTACTTCTCTACTTTCTACAAGTAGAGTATGAAGAGGAGTCCTGGTGTTAAAGCAGATGGAGGCAGTTAGCCAGGACTGTCTTGATGTTGAAAACAGGTCTCTTAATTCAGTAAGGTTGATAAAACTGAAATACCTTCAATGTAAGGTCACATTGTCTTAGGTTACATATGTATTTGCTGAGCCCAGAGAAAGGTTGGTTGAATTCTCGCTCTCCCGTGAGACTTCTTCTGTGGCTTGGATTAAACTGCTTTGCCTGAAGTTTTTCTCCTGTAAAACAAGAGTAACATGGGGATGATATCTCTCTGTTTAACAGTAGGTTCATTACAGCTAATTGCTTGGTGAGTTTAGTACTGTAATTACAAGCCGAGTTAAAGCTTTGCTTGCATTTCACATCACTGAGACCCTTTCCATGAATTATAGCCTCTTGAATTGGGTATCAATTCTCCTCAAGTGCACTTAAAGCAAGCATCCTGTTGCTTCATCTGGACTATTCTTTGTGGATGGGCTTCCATATTTCATGTAGTATTTTTCTAGCAGTCTGTTATCACAGAAGTATTCAGCAAGTATAAAGTGTTATGAGTGTGAACCCAAATTTCATGTCGGAAAACTGTTTGGGGGCTTTCATTGAATTAGTAGCGTTTAGCTCACCGTGACCTGAACTTTGGGGTCTCGCAGTGGTCATGGGAGATCTTAGGCCGGCAGGAATTTCCGATAGTCTATAATGCATCCTCGCTGGCTGCTATTTTCTCTCCTTTCTGGCATGGGTTGGCACGACTCATTCTAAATTTATAACCCTGTGGTATGGGCCTTTCCAGGCAGCATGGCAGACCTCACGTACTGTATCTGTGAATTATGAATGTATTAGTATTGTTAATGTACTTCTCACAACTGGAATAACAGAGCTGGCGGCCTTTGTGTTGGGGGAAACGGCTTATCATAATGTGCGCCCTTGTGACCTTCCATTTGAACCAGTGCTGCTGATTCATGTTGAAGGCGGCTCCTCGGCTGCCAGAGGCTGCACAATTAACCTTCTGGCATTAATATGCAGTGCAATTAGAATGGATTTATAGCCACAATCTGGTGCCAAACCACAAATGTGATTAAATATTTTAAGAGTTTTTCCTTCAAAGCAAGAGGTAAATATGAGGCGTGTGGACTTGAGGAGTAAAGAGACACCTGAGATTCCAAATAGAAAATGTTATCTCTGAAATAATCAAATCAGTCCCTCGGAGATCGGACGAGCTGGGCTTTGCATTGCAAGTTGACTTGTTGCTGTTCTTATATTTAACAGGATGGTACGGCCAGAGAATCAGAAATGGAAACTGAGTAATTAAATAGCTAAAATATTTTGAAGGCAAGTTCAACAAAATATAGCATTTCTCTTGGTATTTTTCTGGAAAGCACCAACTCCCATTACTGTTGAGAGTAACAGGAAAAGTAGCCGAGTGCATTTACTGCTTCTTCAGAAAAGTTAGTAATGAGAAGGGAAATAAGAATGTGAAATTTTAAGTAATTGGATTTGCTTCACCAAATGGCTGTTGAAGATTATCTTTACTGCAAACCTCTGGGAAATGGCACATCTGGAAACATTTGGAGCCACTCACCTTTGCTCTCAAGCCATTGCGCTCCAAGCTCTTGCTGTAGCCAGCCGAGCAATGTGCTGTTTGGTAACTCAGTGTTCAGCACCTGAGGGAGGTATTGATTGATTAGATATAAAGAATGGTGGCACAGGTTAAAAAATAACTGCCAAAAACTTCTGTTGACTCACATGTATGGGGATATTTTCTTAAGTCAGAGCTGAGCATAGGAAGATAATTACTGTTCTCCCTGTGTTTGCAAAGACTGTCCTGAATAGTCATAAAAGGGGTACTTTTTGGTTATCTCACTGCCATCTACACATTCCTGTCTCTATGTTACAAAGCATGGCTCAATCTTTATTAAAGCCAGGCTCCATTCCTGTGTCTCAAAGGAGAACTTTTATACCGGCTTAGCAGGGAGTGGGCTGAATTTCCCTTGCTTACCTGGTTGCACAGTCTTTAGCAGTAAAGCAGGGAACGTAGTTCCCAAATCCACTTTCCAACTGCTGAGTCTGTGTTCCTTCAACATCACATTTCCTGATCTGCTCAGCCTTCCACGTTCTTCCCAATGTCAAAAGGGTAGTGGGAAGGCAGTGGAAAACACAAAACAATTAAAGCTGCAGAGCAAAGTGTTTGCGTAGCTGAGACCTGCTGGATGCCCACCCTGTTCCTTGGAGGGGAGTGATGGGAGGGATGCTCAAGCATCAAGGGAGATGGTGACAGCTTCTTCTCTTCCCGCTGGGAACCAAGGCTGCTCCAAGTGTTGGTGGTCTCAGTAGCATCTTGCTTCCTTAGCAGAGGATTTGGGTTATCCATTCTCTGCTGGTGTAGTGTTCACTGTGTGATATAGCTCTGACCTGAGTGATGGGTCCCAAAACCACAGCGTAGCCACTCCTGTCTTGGAGGCCATGAGCTTGAACATTTAACATTTTCTCCTTTTGTGAATTGCTCAGCCTCTCTTTTGCCAACTGGCCAGGGAAGTTTGGCCACAGACAGATCTTCAGTAAAAGCCTGTGTCTCACTAAGGCTCTTTTCTCTTCCAGGTGATCCCGATGCTTCCCAAGCTGCTCTGTGAGGAGTTGTGCAGTCTCAATCCCATGCGAGATAGGCTGACGTTCTCAGTGATATGGAAGGTGACCCCAGAAGGCAAGGTAACTGCAGTGGTGACTGGCCATCCTGCTAAGCAGGTCTGCCTCGGTGACCCTATTCTTGCAAACAGCAGTAAAAATGCAATAACACCCAGGTGTATAGCAGAGAATTTGCTGGTAATGTAGGAGTATCCCTGTATCATGTTTTACTGATGAGATATCATGGAGTTGGCAACTGGATTAATTTCAAAACATGTTGGGGAAAGGAAATATATCTGTATGAATCTCAGGAATGGGGGAGAGCCTGCTCCTTGCACTGTTATTTATCCTTGTAATGTCTCATTTGCAGCAGTTCACTGCTAGTGTTTCAGAGCTGCAGTTTCCTCTGCCCCAACGCTGCCTTGTGCTTGAAGATATTTATGCAGGGCAGTGGATGAGGGCAGTATCCCTCCATGGCCTCTTTGGTGAATAGGTTGTTTTATTCTTCTTTAGAGCTGCAAATTGCATCAATGGGTATAAAGTGCAGTAGTTCTTTGGCAAAGGCACAGCTCTGTGCTCTGCATGTGTTTTGCCTCCATATCTACAAAAAAGTTTCTTTGGAGGGTTGTTCCCAGGGAGAAGTTGTAGGGTCTGCTGATCGGTGCAGCAAGTTCTCTTCATCTATCTGCCTGCCAGCTATTTTGAGGCCTTGGTTCCTCTACCTGTTACTCTCCTACATATTGGATATCCCTACACATCTCGTCTTTGGTGACCATAGGGTCCCCTCAGTAATCTAAAAGAGCTAAAGAGGAGGCTAAATGTCTCAGAGGACTTTGGGAAACTGTCGGCGAAAGCACACTTTTTGTACTTTGTTTTTCAGCAGTATTGTGCTCATATACAAGTAGCTGTGGAGTATCTCTTATGTTAATTTGGTAATTTTGCGTGAAGTTTAGCTTTACTTCTCTATAATTGTCCATGCTGCTCCAAAGGAGGCTGAATCTTGTTTTGCACTTCAAGAAAATATAGTTGTAGCCTTGTAGCTATTCTCCATTCCTCCAGAGAGTCCCAGATCTGACACTGAGGTGGATTTTATTTATTGTAAAAACTGTTCCATTTCCAGTAGTGATGATTGCCAATGGGATCTTTCAAATAGTGGCCTTCATTGACTCTGAATAGTCTTTGAAGCATTAACAGTGTAGTCTTAATGAAAATAAACCTTTAATTAAATCTTACCCATGATCCCTTGGAATCTATACATTAATTGCTTTTCAGACAGGGTCAGATCCACCCTGTGTGGCTAGAGAGAAGGCAGAGGTGTTGCAGCATCTCCCTCCCGCCTGCCCAGGGCCGTGACCGTGCTGCCCCTTGCAGAGCAGGCTCTCAGCAAACAGGTTTCTCCTGGGAGGCCCTTCAAGACTGCAGTGGTCCTCAGGGTCACTCGGTTTGAATGCGCGTTGAGGGCCACAGAAGAATTGACTCCTTCCAAGAGGGAAGGTGCCCAGAGGGCTTTTGGCCGGCGGGACATTCTTGTAAGAGCTTATCTTTGGGCAGGGGCAGAATATAGTCTCCTGTACCTCTAGGTGTTACTTCAGCCTAGGGTTAGTGTAAACGGGACCACTAGTCCCCAGGCACCACTGGGTGAAAGGGAAGAGAGTCAGAGGCCCCTGCCCTGTGTCACCTTTGAACTTCAGCTGGTGGCCTCAGAGGGCACTAACGCTGAGGACAGGGTATTCCTTGGCGTGGGGGACACCAGGGCAAAGAGCACTTTGTGTCTCGTATTCAAAGCAGCATCATAACCTTGAGCTTGCAGAGCCTTATAGCACTCCTCGAGGTGAGTGCTGCTCTGAGCTCCCATTATTGCTCTTCCAAGGCAAATGAATCTCTAGCTAATGCACCTCACAAGGAAAAGCCCTGCAGATTCCTCACGCGAATGTGACTAGTGATAAGTTGTTGGGGGGTTGTTTGTAGTTTCTTTAAGAAAAGTAATGGCAGGCTCAGCCCTTTGGGAGACGGACACTTTCTTGTTTTTACTGCTTTTGCATTCTGGAGTTTTTATCCTCTAGTTTCTCATGAGTGTTGCCTGAGCCACTTTCCACACAGCTCCAAGGTCCCTCTGGTGGGATGGTGTGATATGCTGTGTCCAAGATGTCCTTCCAAGGGCAGAGGTGTCAACCAGATTGTTGCACCTGGGCTATTCCTCAGCAGCTGATCTGCATATTTATAAGAGCAAAGCAGCATGTTCTTGTTCAGATGCAGTCCAGATAAGGTTATTTGGAAACAGACAATGCAATTTTCTTTTAAAGCCATTGTCTTCTGATGTTTGAAGTATAATCATGCTGACTCCTTCCGCCAACATGGAAGAAAAATTGCTTCAGTCTGAAACACCCTGTGCAGGCAACGTGTCTCCCAAGCTCAAAACTGGTGTCATCATCCCAGCTCTTGAAAAGCCACTGTCTGCATGGAGAGAGACCTCAGCCACATGCACAGCTAAATTGCACCCTCAGATTACCCATAGCACTGGGGACATGTTTGATAGAAGGGTGTCAGTCAGTCCCAGTGTTTTCCATGAAAAATTGTGCTGCAGGTTCCAGCTAGTTCTCAAAAGCTACCAGAGCCAGGGAGGAAAATGTTAGTGTAATGCTGGAAATGCCTCAGATTGCCTTGCAGGCTGCTCCACGTAATCCCCCTGCACCAGCTCCGAGCCCCCGTGTGCTGCTCCTCAGCTCTGCTTTGCCGGTCCCGCAGCTGCCGGTGCGTTGGCCAACCAGCCTTCGTGGCCTTCCCCACACAAGCAGAGCTTGCTCCTTCCTCTGGAGGGGCTTCCAAACCAGGGACGCAAGGCTGCGGTTACCCAAATTCTGCTTGAATGGCCCCGAAGGCAGAAACGAAGAACATTTCCAGGAAATACTTGGACCTAAGGTAGAGTTAACTTCGCCTGCCCTCACAAGCCTCAGTCTGGCAGCTCTGTTCACTGTGCACAGGGATTACTGGACTGCACGGGGCAAGATGCATCCAAAACTCCATTCCTGTGTTTGTGTGAAGTGTTTAATGCATCCAGGCAATCTTGGTGTGACAAGTGGTTTAGCGAGCGTTATTAGTAAGAGACTTCTCACAGGGTTGTTGCTGTCCATTTTTATACCTGTTAGAGTGACACCGGAATGGAAATTGAGTGTTTTGCGTCATGGTGCTTCATTGCCTTCAAAAAACCAAGGACAAAAAAAGTCACTGAGGAAATAAAGAAGTAAGGGAAGTTTAACATCTGCTAATATTGGGCTGCTTGTCCTGACACCTTGCCCTGAATGTAGCCAGCATGAGATTTGATGTTCTAATTATATTCCTGGGGCCCAAAATGCTGCATCTCTCATCTTACAAGGAAGTGAGTGGAGCTCTGAAATATTTGGCCTCTTCTAGACAAGCAGAAAAATGAGATTTTGTTGAAAGCTTCAAGTTCAGACAGCGAAGTGGAAATCCAGCCCATTGCCTCCTGCAAGGGACAGCGAGTGCTCCTGGAAGTCAGTGGCAGAAGCACTGTGGCTTCAGACCTGGCTTCAGAGCTAGCCCAGGTGTTGGAGAAAAAGCTGCTTCTGGGAATGACTCTTCTGGTTTATGTCCAGTCCCTAACCCTTTTCAGCGTAGATGTTCCTTTAACGGAATTGTTCCACCTAGGTTATTAAAAAAAAAAAGTGACACTGCTTTTCAAACACAAAATATTTAGCTTGAGATCATAGAATATGCTACCAAACTTATCAGGATGCAGCAGAGCATAGAGCAGGTGCTGCCAGTATCACTGAAATGTCTCTGCATCCTGCTATGTGACTTTCCCTTCCTTTCTTTCTCTATGTATTTAGATATAGAGACACATACAGAATAACCATGAGCCTCAAATCTGAGCACTTTACGTCACAAAACATCACTTGCTGCATCCCAGCTACGGGGACACTTTCTAATTGGAAGTGGGTGAAGTGCCCTGTGACTTTCAGAGCTCTGAGCCACTGACTTATGCTGCACATATATTCTGTGGAGCGCACAGGAGGGAAATGGCAAAGGTGCCATGGAGATCAATCCTTTGCTGTTAAAAGGAGGATTTGCCTTTCTGAAGCAATAGTCTTGATGAGCCTGTGTTAGAGCCGGTTGCTCTCCCCAAGCACCATGTCCTGTTGTGCTGGTGAAGGGGTAGAATTATAATTCTCCACTGGCTCTTTGAGCACTTGTGCTTTGAATAGTTTATTGCAGGCTGCTCTCCTCTCCAGAGCACTTGTGCCGATGCTCTTGACTTTTCTGCAGAGCCTTTTGCCCTCTGCGCTCTCCTCCTGCCATGATGAGCTTTTGGAGTCTCTTACCTGAAAACAGATTTTCATTTCTGCTTTAAGAAATAATTCTGAGTTACCAGTTCTACATTGGTGTTCGGTTACAGAGTTTAAATGTGAGTAGCTTCTGATTTAATTGTTTCAAAATAAAGTGATGTTATATGCATTTGTAGATGATTTTTTCTTTGGAGAGCAGAAGAATTTGGAAGCTTTCAGAACATTTTCTGGGTTTGATTTGGGCCTAGGACCACCAGCACTAGGTGTTACCAGAGAAACGAGGGGGTCAGGAACCAGGCCATCTCTCCTCCAAATTCCCTGGAGTCCTACTCGGGCACTTCTGCAAGCACTAGGCAGACATGGGGGTCCCTGCAGCTTTCTCCCTGCTGTGCTCCTGACAGGCTGGTACTTGAAGATGGAGCATTTTGGGGCCATCCCCATGTGCCATTCTGGCCACACTTCAACTGAAGATGGGAAATGTAATCTGTGTTTTAGGTACAGGAGCCTCCTTTTGGCATGTGTGTGTGCCTGTCTGTGCTCCTGCACCCTGCTAACTTTTGTATCAGCTGACTGATTTCAGTCCCCAGATGGTCTGCCCTTCTTTTGAGCCTTAAGAAGAAGGGCAGCCAGGCAGACGAGGGAGATCCAAGCAGTGCCTCATATGAAGGAAAGACTTTATTGTGCACAAACACATTGCTGGAAACTAGGGAATCTTTATGGGCAAAAACCAATGGCCTCAGCCAGAGATCTTCATTTGTAGATCACAGTCAGTCTCAAGGTTGGGTGTCATTCATGCCAGTGTTTGTAGAACTTCCTGAGCTTTTATGCACTGCCATAATAAGTCCTCAGATCTGTTTACATTTTCCCATTTTGCAGATCCTTGATGAGTGGTTTGGACGGACAGTCATCTGCTCCTGTGCGAAGCTAAGCTACGACCACGCGCAGAGCATGATTGAAAGCCCTGGGAAGGTGTTCTTGCCTGAAGAGCTGCCTCCTGTTTCCCCTCAGCATTCAATAGATGAGATTCACCAAGCTGTGCTCAGTTTGCACCGAATCGCCAAACACCTCCGCAAGCAGCGTTTCGTCGATGGAGCTCTGCGCTTAGACCAGGTGAGGAATGCCACAGCTTTAAGGGGCTCCCACTTCCCTGCACTGAAGCAGTTTCTGATTGACCTCCCCAAGAATTTCCTCATCAATCCAAAAAGTCGAAGGGGAAAGTCAGGTTGGAATAGAAAGGCAGGCTTGTGTGGCAATGTTTTCGTAAAATGGTAACAAATTTTGTAGCTAAAGCACTATACAAAGTAGGATTAACCAAAAAAAAAAAAAAAGTTCCTGTTTTGTTAAGAGTGATCCATCTTCTAACATTTTTCAAAATCCTAAGGCTCTAGCAGACTGGGTAAGTAACCTGCACAATGCAGCAAATGATGACAGTGTAATTCATTATCAGGCAGTTCAGATATCTTTAGTGCGTATTTCACTGCAAAAGACTCTTCCTCCACATTCATTCCTGACTTGCAATACTCAACGTTTTCCACAACTTTCATAGCAGTTGTCTGGGCAGGGAAAATAACTAAAATGTTATCTAAGTTAATATTTATAGGTGTTGGGTGCATTTCAGGGAAAAAAATCAAATGAGGAGGTTTTCTGTCTAGGGCAGTTTAAATAATCTTGTATTAGCTGTGGTATGTGTCATTCCTACTTTACAAGTAGATCCAGATACTTTGGATTACCACAGCAAAAAATATTTTTGTCTTTGAGATTCAGCTGCTGTGGGGTTGCTTCTGGCTGTTTTGTGGGTAGGAGGTTCCTGTAATTTATAGAACCCACTAGCTGTCCAGACCAGGAGACAGAGTCCTCTCTCTTTCTCAGTGTAAAGGAAGCTCTATTGTTTCATGTTGCAAAATGAACGTGAGTCAACACATGATACTGCTGGGAAAGAAAGCATATCAAGATGTATAAACAGGACTGTTGTTCTTAAGAGGTATGTTGTAATGCTTCCATTTTACTCAATGCTTTAGCATTGTCTCCAATTCCAGGAAAATACAGTTGAATTGTAGAGGCTTCAGAGCAACACAAGCAACGAGTGTCTAGAGTCTGTGACCCTCCCTGAGGTGGCTTAATTTGGAGAAGTTGCTGTGGAGTGGAGGCAGTGTGGTGTTCCCAAGTCTAAAGTGGACAGGATGAGACCTGTGTCTTGAATTTCAGTAGAGGAGATTAAATTTATGCTTTAGAACAAGCTCTCTGATGTAAGAATTGTAGCACCTAAGGCTAGTTTACTTAAAGTTGTTGGAAGACTTTAAGGACTGCTTAGTCATACACCAGTGAAGGTAGGGGAAGGACAATTTGCTCAAGGTCCAACCTTGCTCAAAGGTCTGTTCTTGAAACTTTACTTGATTTTTGAAAATCAGACTTTTGCTTTGAACACATGCAGAGTTTGCTTAAACCTTTTATAGCAGAGGCTTCCCCATTTGAGGTTTATCATGTGATGACTAATAAGATGGGCTTTCACATACACTGAATGCTAGAGGAATATAAAGAACAGCCTTTGCACTTCCAGAGTGGTGAACTGAAAAGCCTTGGAGATATCCACCTAGGAACAGCCCAGGATGAGTGGGAGCTGTGCTCCAGGAAGGTCACCGGCTGCGTTACACAGGTCTCACGTTGTGTTGTGCTGAGCAGTCACCACGTGTGCCTGAGTTCAGTACCTGTTATCAAACCAATAAGGGGAGGGTAACTTCTAGAACACTCGGGACGTTTTAAATGGGAGGGTTTGGCCAGGGAAGCATCCTGTGATACCCTGTAAAAGATTAGTGGTGTTTTCATTTGCCTTGTGCTGTTAAAGAGATCCCACTGGAGCACTGTATCAGAGATCTGGGTTAAAATCCCTGCTGAGAGCAGGGGAAATGGCTGACTTGACCAAAGCTAGTGCCTAGCAGACAGAACATACTGACTTCTGTTGCATGGGTGGCATTTTGTGCTGTGCAGAATCTCTCTCCTCTAGCAAGAACATCACAGTAAGAGTAATGAGCTTTAAGAACAACGTGTATTTTAATTCAAAGGACACTTTCACTGTTCTTTTTCTTTTCTTTTATACTACTTTCATAGTTACATTGTGATAAAACCACAGAGTCCTCCAGTGCGTGCAGAAAGCAGTTACAGTCAGGTCTGAATACAACCAGAGCTGAGGGGCATGTGGACATGTCCAACATATATGGCAGGACAAAGCAATCTGTAGCTTTTAATAGAATGAGATTAGTCCTTGTGCCTTTGTTCCCCCACTTCCTCTCGTTCCCATGAAACGGTTTTGCCGCTGGGTCCCACTTCCAGCCCTGGGCGAGTGAGCAAGGGTGGGCCCAAAGGGGAACACACCTTTCTAATCGCTGGACCTCTCACTGATTTCCCGTTGAGTAATGTAAATCCCGAACAATGGAAGACAAACTCCAGCAGGAAACTAGGGGCAATGAATTATCAGATTCCAAATAAACATATGAGCAAAGGAAATGATCATCTGATGGTATTAAGGGAAGGGGGTGGCTGGACATGGGTGACTCCTGGATTTCTTTTTCCAAGGGATGTGAGCCCTCTTCCTATAAATCATATTTGAGTTCTACCTTCACTCCACTTCTGGTAGAACAGCCGTAAGTCTTTTCTCATCTCTATGGTGTGATGTGTTCTTGTTCCTCCTATTAATATTAAGAAAACTGTTAAGGGGAGAATCTCCCTTCCTGCTTTGTCATTGACCATGGTGGCCTTGGGCTGGTGGTCATATTTTCTCAGTTTCTCCTTTGGAATGATATTTTATATCCCCTACAGGACCAATATTGTTTAGTTTTGATTGTCACAAACTGAGGACATATCTCACTTGAAGCTGTTCACTTTTCGTCATATTTTCGTAATAGCACAAATAATAGTTGGCCAGTCAAGCCCTTGCACCCAATATAGGGTGGCTTCGGTAAGATGCAGCAATATCAGACTGGATGTGCTGTGGTGTTGGCAATGCTTCCTGTTGAAATGTCACTGCTGTGTTTTTATGACCTAGTGTCAGAGCAGCATCTGCTTGCCTAGGGCTTTACCTTTTAGCAGGAGTTTTAGAAACAGGAACCTCTACTGCTGGACAGATGATGAATATTTTTGGGGTAAGGTGAGAATTACAGATCTGAGTGACACAGAAAAATGGGACAAATCAGACAGGTACTGCAGGGTCTTGTAAGATAAAATGGCCTTTGGATTTTGGGTTTTTATCTCTATGAGTTTGTCTCTTTGAAGCTGTGTAATGGAATCCTGGCCATGGCTACGGGTATTTCTGATGCTTCTTTTTGCCCCAGTCCCTTTCATCCCTATGCAGCGGTCTGCAGGAGGGAAATTCTGAGCACTGAGCTTTAAAAGTTTTAAGCCCTTGTACCTTCAGCAACTAAGGAGCTTATAAGACTTTTGTCTACTCAGACAGAGGTTAATATATTTCTTTTTCTTCTCATTTGCAGCAGAAGTTCTTAGATGTCAAGGCAGGAGGTGCCTTATGCCATAATTTACAGTATTGCTCAAGCCCCCACCAGTCCTTTCTGTCCCTGCTGTGAAATGCCACCCCTGTGTCCTGTCACAGCTCTTGGTAAACCTGCACTGTGAACTGGAGCAGAGATATGACCTGGTTTAAAGACCAAACAACCCTACAACCTCCTTTATTTATTTTTTTTCCTGGCTAGGTTACTTTGAAGCTGGATCAGTTCCCCAAACCACAGCTTTTAGAAAAGCTAGCCAGAGAAACAGATAGAAACTTGCCTTTAAAAAAAGCTTGCACAAGCTCAGGTTTGCACAAAAGCTCCTTAGCTCGAGCCTGCCTAGAAGAGACCTGCTGATAAAGTGATTCTCTTTTTGGCCTCCACTGTTTATAAATGAATAATGGGGATAGATGCCTACAGAAGAAGACAGGTTAAAAAGGAATTCTTGTGCATATGTGGAAGAAGAACACCCGGGGATGCCGATCCATCTCTGTGACAACTCAGAGAGTTGAGTTGTGGCTTCTGTTGTTCGGTGATGCTGCCTTTGCCACCTTGCACCTGTGAGCTCCAAACGTGGCTTTGACCAAAGTTCACAGTGAGAACTATTCAAAGTGGATTTGTGCTAGACCAGCTGGTAGCACTGAATTATTTGCTAGACTAGCTTGTCTCCTTGTTTTCCTCACAACAGACATTCAGCTCTTCTGGTGGTTGCGAAAGGGGAAGAAGGAAGGATAGTGATGGTAAAGAGGAGTGTTACTCAAATATAAGAACGGGGCTGCAGGTGAAACTGTCTCATTTCTGTTTGTTTACAGCCTGTGTGCTGAGCAACTGTCCTGTAACCCGAGCAGGGAGCGCTTTCCTCTGTGGGGCTCTTATTGCTTTGAGTAACCAAAGGTTGTAAAAATTGTATTATTGTAGCTCTGCCCCATGCTGGAGAACTTACTCTGAGCCTGTTCACTGACTTCTGGCAATAAGTAAATGAGTGGTCTTTGCAAATCTGGGCTTTATTTAGTTAAGGTTGATGGGATTCCTGTAGTAAAGGGGTATTGCTGCCCCAGGAGACATAGGAATTGAGCAACAAGACCGTGACCACCACAGTATATGCTAGCAGTGTGCCAGTTCCAGAATACCTGAAGTTGCTTGGAATGCTGAATAAGTTCACTAGATCTGTACCATTGTTGAAGCTCACAGAATTGACTTTTCTCGCATTTATCTGTCTGCATGATGCAAGCAGTTCTGACAGGTTGACCCAAGTCATCCTCATTCAGCAAATAAGAAGGAAGAGGGTCACTTTATGTGCAGGATATGACATTGTACGTTGGGAACTTTCCTATTTAGTTGCAATTAATGGGATAGGACAGAAACCCATATTTTTAGACAGTCGTTTTCTGCTAATGCTGTCTAATTGGATCTCTCAAGAGCCAGAGATTAATTACTATCTCCATTAAAATTTTCCCATATGAATTACAGCTGGATATAATTATGGGAAACTGTTTTGTCACATTTCCTGCCTCGTATCTGTGTGATAAGCATTCAGCACTTCTCTTCTTGCTGTGTGGAAGTAGTAAATGTCTCTACCCGTGTTAGTCAGCCATTGTACATGAAGTACGGGAT